CAAACCTCCTAAGCTTAAATAGCTGAAGCACGGTATCTCAATGTAGACATATCAAAATAAAGGATGCTGAAGACAATACAAATTTTAGTAAAGTAAGTTTGATTCTAGTTACAATCCATGAGATTGACCAAATATCTGGTTCCAAAGTCTGGTACACTATTACACCGACTATATCATTTCAACACAAGTCACATTCTGTACAAGAAAAACCCATACGAACAATGATGAATTATGGTAGTCATTACTGAGCAATATTAAAATGGTTCGAGCCTTTGAGAAGCATATGAAATATGATAGGGACTTGTATCTTAGCAGATAATCAAACAAAAATACACAAGATTCAAGAAAATACCCTAGATTTACAATCTCAACCCCCCTCCCTCAATCCCCACCCCAAAAAAAAACTCATCAAAGTTTGTAACGAAATACCTCTTACATTCTCGCATCTTCTCAGTAAGCTCCTCCAGCATCCTGCTCTGCCTGTTGGAGTCCTTAATCTTCTCCAATTTCTGAAACCCATTACTGCATGAAAAATTACCAATTACTCCGTACTTAACAAGATCAAAGGTAAAATAGACAAAAACACCTAAACTGCATCAAATAAAAAAATTAATAAATAGATACATAAACATCAAAAACACATTACTGCATTGCACGAATAAAATCACACTCATTGTTAAATTCTGGGGTTGAAAGATGAAAAACACTTACGTGAGAGCTCTAAAGATATCCGAAATCTGTCCCTCGATTTCCGCGAGCTCCTCGCTGATTGCAGATAACGAAGCCATTATTCCTCAAAGCTCCAACTTTTTATTCTTATTTTTATATGTTTGCTCCGATGATGTTATGGATCATGCAAATCGCAACAATGTCGATATTCAAAACCTCAAAGCTTCCGGAGGGGGGGGAATTTTTGAAAGAAAAAAAAGAACAACGATGATGAGATAAAATCGATCAATTTTGAAATGAGCAATTGAAATTTATTGAAAGCTCTCCGATCAGATCCATCCAATGCAGGTTGTAGTGCTGGTGGATCCGATGGAACAAAAATATGAATTATTACAGGGAAAGAGCTGGGGACGAAGACCAATTTGCAGTTGATCTCGTGATTTTCCTGACATTTTTGTCAAAAAAACTTTAATACTTTAAGAATATTTTAAAAAATTATTTTTTAAACAAAGAAAAGGGAGAGTTCAAAAATAAAATGCGTAAAGTATTCCTTTAAGCATTAATTAATTTGAATTTAGATCTTTGCCATTTTATAGGGGGCTTTAAACTTTTCCTGATCTATTTAAGTTAAATTTTATAAACTTTAAATTGTTAGAGCACTGGGAATACTTTTGAAGCTCTGGGGCTTCAAACCGGGGCTTCAAATTTTTTCTATCTACCACATCAGCTTTAACTTACACTAAAAAATTAACTGGAAATGGGTTTGAAGCCCCGGGCTTCAAACTGAGGCTTTAAACCTTCATTTTTTATATTTTTAAATATACATCTTCTAAATTTAAATTAATAAATTTAAATTAATTTATTATTTAATTAATCGCAATGAGACTAGTGCATTAAAAAAATTACATTCATTAAAAAAATATACATTCATAAAAAAATACATTCATAAAAAAATTACATTCATTAAAAAAAATACATTCATTAAAAAACAACACTACTGTTGGGTTATGGAATCCGGGGGCCTAGGTAACTAGGCGGATGAGTATCGAACTAAGCACGAGCGCACAAAGTATAAGGGGCCAAGTAAATTCAGAGTAATAATGTGCTAGTTGGGATATTAGTTAGAACGTAAGTCCCCCTTCCCTTAGAAGGGAAGAGGTTTATATACAAGCTACAACTAGGGTTCCAACCGTTGGTCCGTAATCCAACGGTCTGGGCCCACTAAGATTGGGTTGTTCACTGGCGGCGTCCAACCACATGATTAACCCTAGGACTGCTACACAAAGTAGGTTACAAGTAGGGTGGCTATAGCAACTCTGCCAGAGGCATGGTAGGAGTCTAATCGTGGGCCCCTTGATCTTGACCAGGCCGGCTCCCTCGTCTAGATCTGGTCTGCCGCTGTTCGTGGCCGAGGCCGAGCGCCTGACTTGCCTTCGGAAGCCTCTGGATGGAGGGCCGGCCGTGGTCGCTCCGAGGATGACCAACCCTGCCGGGGCCGAGTGCGCAGTGCTGCCGAGGCACTCTTTGTTGGTCATTTGTCCTGGTTCCGTCAAGTGGGCCTTGACGAAGTTGGGCTGGGCTGGATACCCCCATTCCCGGGTATCCATCAACTACAAAGAAATCACTAATTATTCAAGCGACTAAAGATATGTTCGATCAAATTCGCCGTTAGTGCATTGTGAATCTCTCGGCTTCTAATTTCTTGGCGGTTTCTTCGTTTCTTTTCTTCAGTGATTTCTTCGTACATAGGCACCTCCTCGTCCGGGTGTATTGACAAATCGCAGTCTCGTTGTCCTCTATGATCATATTATGAAGAATAATACATACATACATACATGATATTCCTCATTTTTATTTGAAAATAACATTTCGACGGACGATCTAGAATGTGTCATTTACCCTTCAAAACCCCAAAGGCTCGTTTAATATCTTTTCTCGTCGCCTCTTGAGTTTTTTTGTAGGTCTAGCGTTTAAGACTCATTGGTTCGAAGAAGGATCTGACAATCATGGAATAATCTGGATATATTCTATCGGCCAAATACTATCCACGCTTGTAAAGCGTCCCTCTAAGCTCAAAAGATGAGTCTGGTGCGGTCTCATTAACCCAATCATTAAAAACAGGCGATTGATCGAGAACGTTGATGTCGTTGTTCGAGCCCGCAACACCAAAAAAAGCATGCCAAATCCACAAGTCATTCGAAGCAACAGTTTCGAGCATGATAGTAGGCTTGGGATGATCTCCCCGGGAGAATTGACTGTGCCACACAGTGGAACAATTTTTTCATTCCCAATGCATGCAATCAATACTCCCAAGCATGCCGACAAAGCCGTGTTTAACGGGCTTGTAACAGTTGGATGTCGCTCGTTGTAGGCTTGCGTAAATATCTACTATGATAAATTTGAATAATAGCTTTTGAAAATTTATAAACACAGGACCTGATGCTCCGAGCCGACATTTTCAAGTATTCGTCGAACATATCAGATGTCGTCTCGTACGCCAACTGACGGAGCGCGGCAGTGCACTTCGACGCTACTAAACCCGCGTCGGCCTCTCGCATCAAAGCGTTGGGTGAACTAAGGAAGCTCGCGTTCAACATTGGCAAGTATGCGTAAAAAGAGAGGACGACTCATCCGAAAACGATTACTAAAATCCTCCGGTGTATAAACACACGGAGTATTAAAGTAATCGTAAGTTGGCATGTGGCGGAACTGACATGTCATCTTCTTAGGCAACTAATGATGAGATGGAAGGTAAGTTGGCATACGTACTAAAAAAAGAAAAAAAGGGAATTGCGCACAGAGAAACAGTGCTCCTCTTCTTCGCAATCTTCGCCGACCCCATTTCATTTTCTTCTTCGATTGCGTTTTCCTTCGCCATCTCCTTTCCTTTTCTTTGGAATTTCGAGACAAATTTGCAGACAAATTAATCACCTTTCCTTCCCAGGAATAGCATTCATGGACACTCATATGATGAGATCGACAATTAGCATAGATATTGATTTGGCGTACCCAATTACTCTCGATTTAAGCTCAAATTTCAGCGTATCACTGATTCATTCCCAATATCAGGTATGAATTTCCTTCATTTCATTAATTCGATAAATTCTATTGGTGATTTCTTATTGATTTGATTTCCCCCAAATTGATAGGGTTTTTCATTCTTGACATATATATAAAATGTTGCACGGTACACACACACGCCATAGCTTCTATATCAAGCACACATTCCTTTCAATAATAAAGTACAATATAATCTTTGAGTCCAATTTATCAGTATCACCACTTCAATTTTACTTTCCCCATGGCAAAAACTATTCATCTGTTGTCCAAGATCAACCCTAGAATGCTAGCGGATTGTGAATAAAAAAAATATGGTGTAATGTTACAATGAAAAAATCACAATAATTGGCCATTTAATTATTAACTAATGTAAATAATAATTATATTGAATAAAATTTTTAAGAACAAAAAAAGTGACCCAACATTTTTTTGTTTTCAAATCAAAATGAACAAAGTGTTACATGTTTGGGTAGAATAAGTTTACAACATTTTCTTTTGGTTTATGAACAAATATTTATATCCATTTTATTTTTATTTCTATTGTGGTTTAAAAACTATTTTTTTGTTACTCAAAAGATTTTTCAAGTTTCAAACAAGACAATTCTTAATAAGACTCTACGTCAAACATTATCATATACTTGGTCCGTCCTTGAGTGTTTGTCCACTTTTGACTTTTGGAACTATTCATCTAAGCACTTTGACTCATCAAATTCTCTCAATGTGTAAACCAAAAAATAGTCATGTGTGATCTTGTTTGATTCGTCTTAACATATAGATTATTAATATATAATTTTTATAATTTTTTAATATACAAATTACAAGATAAAATGGATTAAAAAAGTGCATTGGATGATGTGGAAAAATGAAAGTGGACAAACACTCAAGATGAACAATTCCAAAAGTCAAAGTGCATTTGATGAGTCAAAGTGCTCAGATGAACAATTCCAAAAGTCAAAACTTGACGAATATAGCGGAACGGAGATATAGTATATTTAAATGAAAGTGCTAACCCTTGCAACTTCACCAACAAGGTAGTATACCTCCAAATTCACCAAAAAGGGTAAAATTAGCATATAAATGTAATCTTACAGTAACATATTATCATAATATAACAGTCTTAAATTAAAAATAAAAAAATGACATTCATATTTTGAAAATAAAAATATACGGAGTATTTCGTTTTTATTTTAAGTAATTTTTTTTGTATTTCCCAATCCGATTTGAGTAAGGCCATACCTATAAATAAAATGCCAAAAACAAGAAGTCCGCTGGCCAGTTGGAAAAATCACGCGATTCTTAACGGCCCACAGCGCCTTTTTCGGGAAGTGAGCGAGACGCGCTGACGTAATCACTTCCTCTTTTTTCTCTTCCCGCGCGCCCTCTCATCTTCTTTCTCCTTCCAAAATCTTTGATCATATAATGAAATAAAATAAAGCTCCCCTCCTTTCTCTCTCAATTAATCTCCCCAGAAGATTATATTAATTTGGGTAATTATAATTACTATTACTATATTTAGTTTTCTTCTTTTTGTTCAGTACGTATTTGTTTTCTAGCCAGTTTTTCTTTCTTTTTTTTTTAAATTTTTTTTTCATAAAGATTCTTTTCCAAGAGCCTGTTTTTAATTAATTTTTCTTAACACTCTAGACGTTACATTGGGAAAAAAGGGTTCTGCGGCGGCGCGGCTTGGCATAGCCGCCGCCGGAAACCTCCGGGTGGTTAGGTTCCTCCACCTTTTTTGGGTAATGTTTTAGTTCATTGAGTTGTGTGGGTTTTTGGAGAATATATATATATATATATATATATATATATATATATATATATATATATATATATATATATTGAGTAGATTCTCATAGGGTTTTTTATGAGAATTAAAACTTCTTTTTTTAATTGAATTCCATTCCTTTTTTAGTGAATCTTAATTAATATGAAGCTCAGGGGACTTGATAAGGAATGTTTGATTTTATGTCACTAGTCTTCTTTGTTAATGTTTTCAAAGAATGTTTATTTAGAAAGAAATTGCTCAATTTATCCCCCTTTTTTCTCAAAATAAAAAAAAAGTTCCTTTACAAAGGATTAATTGTTCAATTTATGTATGTTGATCTGTGTTTTTTTAAATGAAACAATCAATTTGATTAAAGTTCTGTTTTTTTGTTAATTTTTGACAGGAAGATGTACAATTCTTCTAGCAGTCCAGGGAGGCCAAAAACCAGGAATCAATGGAATGAGTTCTACATGGATTACAATGCTGAGAAGAAGAGAAGGAAAAGTTTAATGTCCGAGTCTGGTTCGTCTCGAAAGCGAATGGACACAGCTTCTATGAACAAGAAGAAGAAGAAGAATAGCCATGGCCCTAGCCCGATCCACTTCGAATCGGATGAAGAAATCAAAACCACTTCCAAGAAGGCCAAGAAACCGATTCCTAGCGATAATGGGAATTGTGTCCTCTTTATGGATGACCATAATGATAATGACATCATTTTGATTGATTTAGATGATGATGATGATGGTGGTGGTGTTCAAGTTCAAGAGTTGTCATACAAAAGCAAGAAGAAGGATATGAAGGAAAACAGGAAGGGCAAAAATGATGATTTGGAGTTTTGGGAAGTTCCTAAATCTGTTTTGGCTTCCAAAGAAAGGGCTGAAAACAGTGTCAAGGGCATGAAATCAAATCAAAATGGGAAATTTGAAAAAACAAATTCCACAAAAATGGCTTTTGAACATGTTCAGAAGAAGGGGAAAGAAACCCAGAAGAAAAAGGCTGCTGCTTTGGGCAGAAGACAATCCAAAAGAGGGAGTGGAAATGAAAGTGATGATGAAGTTGTGTTTCTTGGGGAGTCGTTTACAAGTTCTGGGTTTGGGTTAAAGTCCGGGTCGGGTTCCGGGTCGAAGGTCGGGTCAGTGGATGGTGTGAGCCCTGACATGGCCACACATGATGAGGTTGCTTCCTCAACCACAAAGACTGTCAAGGATTCTGTTGGCATTGTGAGTTCGGATGAGTCGTCGGGTTCGGATGATGCTCCTTTGGAATCCAGAGATTCTGATGAATCTGATTCAGATTCATCTGATGAGGAGGATTGTGATGATTCAGGAGATTCAGATTACATAGAGGGCAAATCTTCATCATCATCATCATCATCATCATCTTCTTCTTCTTCTTCTTCTAGCTCAGAAGAAGATGAAGAAAAAGAAGAAGTTTCAAATAGCAGTGAAGAATCTGATGAGGAAGTTGAGAAACACAAAGAGATTGATGAGAAACATAAATCTAAAGCTGCTGAAACCCTCAAATCTTCTTCCAAGAAAGCCCAAAAGATGGAAAAAAGGACTGATGAGAACCATAAATCTAAAGCTGCTCAGAAAGATGCTGAAATCTTGAAAGACAGAAAGAAAGAGAAAAGGGCTGAAGAGAGACATAAATCTGAAGTTGCTGAAATCTTGGAAAACAAAGAAGCTTCCAAGAAAGATAAAAAGATTCATGAGAAGAAGCATAAATCTCAAGCTGCTGAGAAAGATGATGAAAATCCAAAAACCAAAACAGAAAATCCCAAGAAAGACAGCAAAAAACAGAAAAGTTTTAGTCTTGAGCAAACAGATTCCAGAAAACCTGGAGGGATAGCGTCTCGTCTCCGGTCTCGCTCAAGCTCAAAGATGGAAGAAAACCGCAACCCAAGTTCTGATTCGCCGTCCATTGACAGCCAAGAGAAAGAGACCCAAGAAGAGAACACCAAGAATAAGAAGCCAAGGGGAAAGCTGAATGTGAAGAGCATCCTTCTGAACACAATGCTGGAGAATGAAGGGAAGTTCAGCGAGACCGTGACCCTTGCGGAGGACAACGTCCCAAAGCAGCTTCCTTTAAAGTTCAAGTTCTACGAAGAGGATCGTAGCCCGGTGAAGGACGAATGGGAGGTTGAGATTGACAATCTCTTTGTGGATCTCCAAATGGGCCGCCTGCAATCCGAGACCAGCACCTCCTTTGCTCCAGCCATGGTGAGTTTTAACTAACACTGTGAATCTTCAAATGGACATTGTGCCCTTAAATTCAAGTAAAGATTGAAACTTTTTTTTTATCTTTTGTGATGATCAATCTTGAAATAGACATTGTGCCCTTAAATTCGAGTAAAGATTGAAACTTTTTTTGATGTTTTGTGATGATCAATGAAAATCAGGTGGGGGAAAGCAAAAATGGGGATGATGTGCAACCATGCTGGCATCCAGAAGGGCATCTTCAAATCTTGGATGAACAAATTGGGATTGTGTGCAAGCATTGTGATCTTGTGTTCTTGGAAAGCAAGTATATATTGCCTGATTTTGTAAGTTGATCTTTATGACTAAAGAATGTCAGTAGCGATTAAGTTAAACTGGGACAATGATTCAAAATTAAAACCAATTCTGCTGATTTCTGCAGGCCAAGAGACCCAGCCGGAGGAACGACCGGAGATTCCTCGGAGATTCCGATAATCCCGCGGCGGCGGCGGATATTGAGCTGGACAGCGGTCCAAGAAACGACCAGACCTCCATCCACGGCGCAGGCACGGTGTGGGATCTGGTCCCCGGCCACATCAAAGCCAGAATGTATCTCCACCAGCGGCAAGGCTTCGAGTTCATATGGAACAACATCGCCGGCGACCTCCTCCTCGAGAACCTGAAGGACCTCCCGGCGAACGGCGGCGGCAAGGGCTGCATCATCTCCCACGCCCCGGGGACCGGCAAAACGGGGCTCACCATCGTCTTCCTCCGCTCCTTCCTGAAGCTCTTCCCCCGGTGCCACCCCGTCGTCATCGCCCCGAGGAGCATGCTCCTCACGTGGGAGAGCGAGTTCAAGAAGTGGGACGCCGGCGATGTCCCCTTCCACAACCTGAACAGCAACATGCTCTCTGGGAAGGAGGACATCGCCGGCATCCCTGTCCTTAGGGGAGGAGGAGGAGGACAACATCATCCCAAGGGGAAGGACGTGAACCGTCTTTTGAAGATTTACTCGTGGGCAAAAGGGTCCGGGATTCTCGGGACCACCTACGGCCTCTTCGAGAAGATGGCCGGGGGCGGGGGCGGGGGCGGGGGCCCGTGCAAGGAGGAGGACGAAAAGCTCCGGAAGATTCTCCTCAAGTTCCCGGGGCTCTTGGTCCTCGACGAGGGGCACACTCCGAGGAACGAGGAGACCAACATCTACAACACGCTCTCGAAGGTCGAAACGCCCCGCCGGATCATCCTCTCCGGGACCCCGTTCCAGAACAACTTCCACGAGCTCCATAACACGCTCTCCCTCGTCCGCCCCGGGTTCAGGGCGGCGGGCCCCGCCGGGGCCGGGAGGAAGGCGAAAGCAGGCAAACTTCCTCCCGCGACGAGCGACTGGGCCTCGATCACGTGCTCGGTTCTCAACGAGGAGAACGAGCGGAACGTGGAGCAGCTGAAGCGCATCATCGCCCCGCTCGTCCACGTCCACAAGGGGACAATACTCGAGGAGAAGCTCCCGGGGCTCGTCGTCACCGAGCTCTACCTGAAGCTCACGGAGACCCAGCAGAGTCTCCAGGACGCCGTCTCGACGACGGGGTCCTTCATGGAGAGAGACAACTGGATGACGCTCATATCCGTCCACCCGTCTCTCTCCCCCGACCACCACCGCCGCGGCGGCGGCGCGGTGGAGGGGCCGCTCGAGCTCGACCCGAGGCAAGGCGTGAAGACGAGATTCGTCCACGAGCTCCTCGCCCTGTGCGGGGCGAGGGGGGAGCGGGTCATCGTCTTCAGCCGGCTGCTCGAGCCGCTGGCGCTCATCAAGAAACAGCTCCTCGCCTCGCAGTTCTTCCGGTGGACGGAGAACAGGGAGGTGCTGTACATGGACGGGAAGATCCCGGCGAGGCACCGGCAGGAGAGGATCGGAGCCTTCAACGACCCGGAGAGCAACGCCAGGGTCCTCCTGGCGTCCACGGCGGCGTGCTGCGAGGGGATCAGTCTGGTCGGCGGCTCGAGGATCGTGCTCCTCGACGTGGTTTGGAACCCGTCGGTGACGAGGCAGGCGATCAGCCGAGCCTACAGGCTCGGACAGACGAGGCTGGTGTACGTGTACAACCTGATCTCGTCCTCCTTCGAGGCGAAGAAGTACGCTTGTCAGGCGAAAAAGGACAGGATGTCGGAGTTGGTGTTTGCCGACGAGTGCGGCGGCGGAGGGAGGAGGTCCGGCGGGGACGGCGGCCGGGATGTGATATTGGACGCCATGGCGGAGGATCCCAATATGTGCAGCATGTTTGAGAGGATTGTGCACCAGCCAAGGAACCAACAAATGCTGTGATTAATTTTTTTTCATGTTTAGTGATTAATCTAATATAATTAACAAATGGTAGTAACACGGTTTTGTTTTAATCTGTTGATGGCTCATTTTGTTTGTCTGGGTAGTCCAGACAAGCATTGCATAGTTATATTTTTTGTAACAATTAGTATTTGCATAATTATGTTTTGTAAGAATAATGTTTTGTTATGTAGATGGGAATGGAAGGATAAAGAAGTCATTTTTATGTAGATGGGAATGGAAGGATCAATAAGTCATTTTGAGATGGAATAGAATGTGATTTTCATTTATCTTATTTTTAGGTTCAATCATTCAAACTCGTGCATATTTAGATTACATATGCACGTGATATAAAATTAAATAGTTATACTCCTGCTTTATGTCATCAGAGTTCTTATATACTCCGTATTCAGTATTTTTTTAATTTTGAAAAAGCTAAAAAATACATATAATCTTTATTTGTTTAAAATTACTCCAATAATCAAATATTAATTCTCTCATTAAGTTAGATACAGAATAATATTTTAATGTAATCAGAAAACACAATTATAAAATTAAAAAATATGTGAAAAAGTCACAAAAATTATGTAAAGTATAGTTGCACTTGCACCATGCATAGAAGTACTCTTGATCTTCTTCTTTTTTTTTTATCATGGAGTTTAAGAAATATAAAATTACGTGACTGAAATGTATGCCAATGAGGGAATTGTTGTTAACAAGTAAATTTTCTATTAAAAGGAGAAGATTAATCAGAGACGTCCAAAAAAAAAATGGTTTAAAAAGGGACAAAGAAAGCATGATTTAATTTTAGTTTTAAATTTATAAACAAAAATAATCTATTTTTTTTTAAAAAAATAAATGATCTTTTCATCCGTTAATATGAGATACTTCCCCCATTTTGTAAAATTTTTTACACTTTTTTTTGGATATCTCAATTTTTTAAAAAAATTTACGTTGATGTTAATGGATACTGACATGAGGAAAAGTAATTGGCAGGCATAGAATCAAAGTTGAAGGCCCCCCCAAAAAAATGAAGGATTACATACGGATGCAGACAAAGAGCCACAAACTCCAACTGGTTGGACTTAACCGTGACCTAAAAAACATTCCCTCTAGTAGGGTAGTAGAGGTCCTAGAAATGGGTAATCGTCCAAATACTTTACTATCAAACAAGCATGAAATGCTTCATGCACATAGACAAAGAGAAATTTAAATAATTCATTTGGGAGATATCAAAAAATTATTCCATGATATTCTTGATGTTCTAGTAATGACTTTCAGGTCACACATTATTTGAAATATAATCGAGGGTATTTTCAATTTTTTAGTATGAACTCTCAAGTCCTACATTATGCAAAATATATTTCGAGGTTATTAAAATTTATGATATTATATTTCGAAAGTACATTTCGTTCATTTAGGTGTTAGAATTGAAAGCTTTTTAACTTTGAGAAACTAAAAGATTTTATTTAAATTTAATAAAATAATGATTATGAAGCCAAAATTTAATGTTTTTCAAAATATCAAAACTTTTAATCATAACAGTCAAATAGACAAAATATACTCAAAGAATACATTACCACTAATTTTAAGGAATCTCATAGTACACTTCAAATAATGTGAGATCTAACAGTTCTTACTAAAAAATTAAGGGTACTCGAAAATATATTTTAAGTTTAATGAGATCTGAGAGTCATTACCACAAAATCGAGGATACCCAGGAGTAATTTTCTATGGGAGATACACTCATGATGCTGCACTAGATTCTTTTCACTTGATAAGCTAACTATTGGTCATTAATTTATTTAAAAGTTGAGAAAAAAGATGCAAGATTTTTTGTCTGAGGTCTATAAAGTATGGCCATCTATTATATGTATTGTAAGTGATAGCAGAATCAGTTTCTTGTTTTCTAAATTTGATACTAATATATTCTATATTTTTGGAGAGATTATTTGAACAATAATCCATTTAATGATGAGTTCATTCCCTAAATAATATAAGAACTTTTTTGAGAAAAAAAAACTGAAAAAAAGAAAGTATAAAGTTCATTTATAGATAGAGTGAGTGAGTGAGCATACAAATAATTTGTATGGATACAAATTATTTAAGTCCTAAGACTTAAATAATTTGGTACTATGATTTTGGGCTCATATGGATACACCCTTGCCTTATTTTTGGCTGATTTTGTGATCCAAATTAGCTGTTGATTTTGTGTGTAATCTGATTTCATAGGTTACTAATGAAATCAGATTCTAAAAGCAAAATCAACTAGTTCATTGGGGAACAATATGATGTTAGGATTGAACTTCTGCAGAATAAACATTCAGAATGAAAGGCAAATGGCTTCATCATTTACACACAAGTGTTCTGCATTCTGACCATTAGAGGAAATGATGAATAGCCTTGTATCTTGATGGCAGTGTACAAGTTCTCTTCACAATATATATATATATATATATATATATATATATATATATATTATTAATACCATGTATTAATAATACACATTTGGCTCTTAAATCAATTTAAGGAAGTGTTGCAATTGATTTTGCCTCATAAAAACACCCTACTCACCAGTTCCCATTGAGGAATCTCAGAACACTATTGGCCGACGGGTACAGAAACTTCAGCAAACCCTTCTGGTAAACAAAACACAGGGTTTTTATCATCCGATTCTCCTTTGATTGCCATAGCTAGTGAATACCCCAAGGCCCTTGCTACTGGCACAGCTACAGCGTTTCCAACTTGTCTGTACCTGAGAGAGAGAGAGAGAGAGAGAGAGAGAGAGAGAGTAGATGTCACAATAAAAGAGAGTAGATGTCACAATTAAGTCCCCAAAAGAAGCAGGTCTGAGGAGGGTGTGTATTATACACAGCCGTTACACCCACCTAAGTTGCAACGAGACATGGACAAGTACTTATGCAGGAGCAGGGTTGGAAGTATGTAAACACCAATTTTTCAAAAAAAAAAGTATATATATAAAGGATTTAGGGGTCGGGACGTCCCCGAGTATTTAACTGGAGACAAAGAATTCGTGCAACATAGACCCCTAATTGGTAGTAGAAAGGCTGTTTCCAAGAGACCCCGGTTCAAGCATAGAAGTAAAAACAAACATGTAAACATAGTAAGCCCAATTAACTCGAACAAAGTAAGAACATGGGCACTTGTCAATACAGCAATGGCAAGAAATGTATGCCCTCATATACCTTCCCATGATTAGATTCAACATAAAAAAGAGAGCTATAGAAGTCTTTGATAGAATTCAAACCACTTGGACTGCAATCCAAACTTTACTTTCCCTTCGCTTGGTTATTAACATATACTCTTTCCCTCCCTATAAAATTTTCCTTGTTTTACATACAAAGTTCAAAAAATGTGATATTATATGGTTAAATTTTGTAGAGAGAAATGAAAAGTGATATTAACCAAACAAATATGTCCTTATGGGAATTGAGAACATTGATTTGAATCATCCAAAAAAGAAAAGTAAGAAAAAAAAGAAAATGGGTTTTTTTAACTAGAAGTAATCCAAAATTCCAAATTTTAAGAAATTATACTAACCAGTAGTGTTAGTGTACTACCTTTCTGTTATTGAGCCACTGAGTTTATAGTAGTCTGGGAAACCTTGCAACCGTGCATTTTCGCGAACGGTAAGAACCCTATCTTGCTCGGGGTGTAAAATAGCCTGGTGGAATATAAATTTTAGGACATTAAGGCAATTTTGGTACAGGCCATGTCTCAAAATGCATGAACGTAGATATGGTTTATTAAAAAAAAATACCCGATTATGAGGCTGAGCCCTCGTCACAACTGTGGGCACAGTTTCATCCCACCAAACCCGACCAAATGGCCTACAAACGGTGAAAATGAAAAACAATGAGAAACGAAAGTGTGGGAAAAGAGCAAAGCAAATAAGAAGACAACGCTACTAATTACTCTGTGGAAGTTCCTCGAGTAAAAGACAAGGCATAATTCGGCACCTGCAGTATAGAGAAGAGACTGATAAGGACCCAGAAGCAATTCAAGCAACAAACAAGTGAAACAATCATAAGGGGGAAAAAAGATGTAATACCAGAGGTTTGCCTGAAGGCAAGTATACTCTTTCAATTGTTGGATCCAATTCAGCTTTGTTGCCACGGACAATGACACCTTTCAAATTCCTGTAGTTAGCCCCCTAATAAAATAACATGTCAATAAATGTTGGCACTACGACACTGTTATACCGAGCATATTAATGTAACCAAATGCACTGATGAAGATATTCATATACCTTTTGTTTGGGAATTTGGCATACCCTCGCATAATCATCTTCATTTAGTTGCAAGGGACAGTGATCATACAAAACATGCCCCAGATTCCCTATAATATATTGAAATTAATAACAAAAGCCAACTCTTCATAAATTTTGTAACTTGTATGTCAGGAAGTAGCAATATACAGAATATTGAATAGTCATTCTGCCTTACAAAAATAATGACAATATGTCACACTAATGTCATTTTTGTAACAACATTACCTTCAATGTTATGCGAGAATAATGAAACCATCATAATCATACTATTGTTGACTATCTTGTATGAGAATTAGTTTCAGTTGATTGTCCAGATTAAAGTTGGATGCTCTTAAATTGCAACCTTTAAAGTAAGGTATGTAGGGATTATGAGATAAAAACTGAAAGTGTTTTATGATATAAAAAGACATTTCTTAATTGCACAGAGAATATCATGTGGCTCGAACAAGTGAGATTCGTGTTCTAGTGATGCCTCTTCACAATATTGACATAAAAAATTGACACATATTGTAAAGCACTAGTGTGCACTAGGCACGATCTTTATAAAATTTTAAATGTTTTGTGAGATTCACAAACATTGTCCTAACTAGTGGTTTATCTTTTTAAAATTTTAAATGTTGTGTGAGATTCACGGACAACTTTGTCCTAATTAGTGGATTCCCCAAAAAAACAGAACCATGGGACGCATTGAAAATACAAGTTGGACTTACAAAATGGGATGGAAAGAGTACATATTTGAATATTGTGGTTGTGAAAGGTCTTGTGTGTTTGTGCTTGTACAGGCAACAAGATGTGATGCATCATAAAAAATCAACACATGTTCAACAACTATAAATTAAAAAAAAATTGTGTATCTTGCACATAACCATAAAAGAGCAGTATTATAATTTATGATATAGTACATGGGCACTCACCATCTCTTCCTAATCTTATGTATTTTTGGAACCCATTCTTAGGCTGTTCATCATATTCCATTTCATCTCTTGACTCATTATTCTTTACCTAAACAAAGAATATGAACCAATAAGCAATCAATGCATACCCTTGGGAAGATGAAAATCAAGATATAGTGCTCATGTTTTTATTTGTTTGTCTAATTTGACCACCAAATCATCCAATTCAAAAAATGTATTGGAAAGATAAAATAATCTTAGCATGTGTAGTTCAAAATGTCTTCATTAAAAGCATTTGTCACTCACTTTCCACTTGGGAAAATAGTACATTGAACAGCATAATGGTAAATTGGAAAAAGGGTATATAATTTGCATAGATTTTAATGGACAGGTAGTAGAAACAAGAAAAGTTGGTAAACCAGGGCAGGTAAATATGAACGATGGAATACTGCAAACATGCGGCATAGATGTTTCATATACCTGAGGAAGATCAGAGATTGCGTCACCCAGGAGAAGCTTCTTCTTTAGTCTATGACCATGTCCTTCATCATATGCCACATTATTTGACTGACATCATTCAAAAATTGAATTTAAAAGATAATGCAATGAGGCAAGAGGTTTATAAGAAGATGAAATCACCACTGATAGATCTACCTCAAACTCGACAGGAACAAAACCTCTCACAACAACATCATGTGTTGGTAGAGGGTACTGAGGCAACTTCTGCAAAATAAGATAAGGGTCACTTTATCAAAACAATAACAGCAATGTCAATGATATACTCTACAGAAATTGACATTACTTCTGCCGGAAGTGCACCCCACAGAAAGACTCTCATTCTAAATTGGGGAAGCCCATATGATCCAGCCACCATCATTCCTAGACGGGCCTGGTACGACATCCCTACAAGTTGACTTATCGCACATCTCCCCAGAAAACCATTTGAAAACTTGACAATATCAACCACATTTTCCATCAATACAAACCGAGGCCTCAAGAAATTCACAATATCCATGAAAACTTCTAGTTGTTTGTTCTTGGGATCCTCCAATGGATTTTCACTATTCCTAAAACGATTGAAGCCGCTGATTCCTTGGCAAGGCGGGCCACCACATATGACATCAACACTCCCCTGAATCAAACAAACAATATGTGGAGTATTATAATCCAAAAACTTTGCACACAAAGAACGCACTTGGTAGCAAATCACAGAACTTTAAAACCCCTAAAGGTGGTTCAGAAACTCTCCATCTTTAAAGCAATGGCCATTTAAGAAATAGCGAAAAAGTAAATAGCTCATTCAGGAAAAGAGAACAAACTTACTGGCAAAGGCATAATATTTGCTTTAAACCCATTCTCAATGAACTCCTTCATTTTCTGCTCACAACCACTATATCCACACAAAAGAAAGTGAAGAAAACAATGCAAACAGCCACACAAACCACAATACTGATTACTGTCACAACATACCTCAGACCCTCAATGGGTTCCCATGTGTCATCAGCTTCGCCATAACCTTTCCAGCGTATCTAGATGACATTCGTAGAATTTAAAGGCATAAACACAACATTTTGTGTAAAACATATCTACTGAAACTTCTATCAACCTGAAAGAGCAAAAAACACTACCTCCATCCTACAGATTCAATATTTCTCTGTTTGTTGGACTTAAAAAAATCACTTTCTTTTTAGAGGTAAAAGTAGTTCACAACTCCTTTCTCTCCTCTGGCAAATTATAACATTAAAGCTTTCATTTTTTAACACTTATCTGAATTCCGTAAAATCCAAACAAAGTTTTTTAAGGGACAGAGGATAAATTAAGAACCTTGAAGTGCAATCCAGACTTTCCAGTTTTCTTTGGATCCCCAAAGCAAACTTCTAATACTTGTTCAACTTCATATACTTCATTGTCTGTATCACTTGTAGTCCCTTCTTCTTCTTCTTCTTCTTCTTCTTCTTCTTCTTCTTCTTCATTACAAATATTCAAGCAAGGATGTGGTGCTGAGTTGCTTGTTATCAAAGAGCAAGAGACACAAAGGTGTTCCCATTCCTTGAGAAGGCACAAGAAATCCTGAGCAGCTTCATTTCGGACCTAATTCAATGAAGGCACGCAAAGTATAAGATACACACACCATTAAAAAATAAACCATAAAATTGTATGGAGTGATGTACACGGCACACTTATAAATACCTGCGTCTCTGGATGATTCCATCTCAAGCTATCACATGCTTCTTTATTGAAATCCACTGCCCATTTCTACAGTTAAACAAACTTCAGTATGCCCATGATGTGTGATGTGATTTTAAAGCAACATTCATATTTAAAAACTAAGACACTGGAGACGCAAATTGAAGCTTACTGTTACAAGCTTAACACCATAGTTCGCAGCTCCTAGACATAAACCAGTGGACATCGCACCACAGCCAGAATACAAATCAAGGAGGGTGTTTTCGTATGCATGTTCTTTTATTTCTGTGGTGCTACTTTCACTGGACAGAATTGAATCCAATTCTCTGACAGCTTCAGCTGCATTATGATAATGATAAATTAGTAGGTCTCATCAGTTAGAAAGTCTGAAATTTTGTAACACAATATAAAATAAATTTGATTCAATTGTCACTAGGATAAAATGGGAAAACAGAAACAAAAGAGGCAAGCGAGAGAAATACCATGTGGAAAGCTTATAAATGTTGAATAAGGTACATGATACATCATATCACAATAAAAGTCGCACTCAAGTGGAATCCTTCCTGTAGACTTGATACTCTCCTATACAAAGATTAAACATTAACATGATTTTAGGTAAATGGAATGTTGATCATGCTTATCAAGTACTTCATACCAATCATGTTAAATCAATCATACATTGGGAGGAAAGCAAACTATATTCAACTTTTGAACAAGGCAATCGATGAGATTATCATCCTTAACTTCAGATAAGAAAACACGCTTCCTCTCAACGAACTTGTCAAGTGATTTAATAACCTGATGAATGAACTATGTCAGATCAGCATAACATTAGAAAGCATCTGAATCATATCAATTCTACAAATTCTATTTCTTACCGTGTCCTTAGCTCGGTAGAACCATTGAGCCGTGAAATAACGCATTCCATCCATATCTTCAAACATCTCCACGATTTTACAAATGTAATCGTCTTTACCTTCCTCACCCTAAAGACAATAAATCATAAGGAAATATAAATAAACATTGCATGGATCCATGGTAGTCATAGTTTGTAAGGCGTCGCCAAGGCGATAAGGCAGACGCCTTGTTTGCTCGCCTCGCCTAGAAAACCTTAAGGCGACCAGACGCTCGCCTCACCTCGCCTTGCCGCCTTACAAACTATGATGGTCGTAGCCTTACAATTTTGAGGATCTAAGATATTTATTATTGACAATGCTTTAACTCTATGTAACTATTGGACAATATGAAAATGACACATTAAACTTACGTGGCTTGTTACTTTTGTGAGGTTTTAAGGGAGTAAGACTAGACCCCGATGAGTTTGATACGGAGTATTATACTAGGTGTGTTGGTGATCTATAGTGGCCTCTCAAGTGAGACCTAAACATGGAGTAAAAAATACACACAAATCTTGCTTTCTAATCATGGTAGTGATTAGATTCAAAGATAAACAAATTTAATTAACTTGATGTGGAAGTTATAAATGGAGGGTTATTCATGTTCTTCGCACTAATAAAAAGTTCACTGTACTATTCATTTTATTGGATTTTCAGTTTACTAATAAGATTTGAGATGATTAATCTCACTGTATGAGATGTTACTGCAAAAGTAGTCCACAACATGCATTCAATTTATATGGAGTAACTTACCTTAACATAAGCATAGCAAGCAAAGACATTCAAAAACTTACTTTAACAAAAGCATCATCATGAAGACTATAAAGCTCTCCATCAAATTTTAGCATAGAGAAATGGCGTTTAGCCATTTTTGTAACTACAAGCTGCTCTCTGCATAAGCTTATTTTATTGTACATTAGAATCACAAATTGCATGAAAAAATGATTGACGATATCATATATGATAAGCCTCAATTGCATATACAGCAGGTGATAATAACTTGCCTGATGCTTCTTCCTTTTGTGCTTGTCTGTAATCAAAAACACATTTCATTGCTAAGTGAATATTTAAAAATGGAAAAAATGATTTCTTGTATATTTCTTGACACCCCCCCCCCTAAAACACCAAATGTACATTCCCATAAGATATTAGGAAATGTTGGGAAAGGAAAAAACACAAAAGATGTGTTGTGCCCAAGATCAACACATTTCCCTCTTGAAAGAACTTGTGAGCAACAACAAACAAACACTCTGAAGAACACCAAACAACAAATAAGATCCAAACACGAAAATAAAATGATAATAGGCACAAGATTTTAACATAGAAACCTCTTTCAATGTAAAAGAGTAAAAAACCACAAGACCCTTCGGTCTAATCAACTCAACTACGACAAAAAGAGAGTAGAAATGCACAATACAACAACACCACAATGATATATAGTCCTTAACAACATTATAAAGGCACTAGAATCAATATAGAGGAAGAAAATTGCAAGAAATCACCCAAAAACTGCAATTTGATTTGAAGCTCATAAATCAAGATTGAAATGTTGGAACTTGGAATTTGATCTCCACCATTTAGATTGAAGCTTTGTGGGTCCACTAACTCCTCCAGAATTTGAGCTTGATCAGACAAGATTTGGATATTCGATCGACAAAAAAACCAAACCTGCAAGGTTGATAATATTGTAGGGGAAACTCTCTCTCTCTCTCTCTCTCTCTCTCTCTCTGAATTGGTAGTGTGTGGTATACCTAGTGTTGAAAGTCTTCCCGATAGGAAAATGTTGGGCAGCGTGTCCCGCATGTATGTAGCAACAGCACAAGATGGTATGCAGAACAAATTAATAATCGTTGAGAGGAGGTCACGAGTTGTATGGTTGTTGCTTTGAGGGGAGGTTTGTTAGGCGCAAACTCTTTCCCGCACCAGAAGAGAATGAAGAAAGAAACAAAAATAAATATGGTTACCCAACCCATCTGTATGAGGCCTTTTGAAAGGTGCCCAAAAACAAATTTGTGAGGCTTAACATAGAGCGAACAATATTATACTAATGGTACCCACAAGTCAAATGATAGCCGACCAAAGAAAGTCAATAACTTTGAATTCAACATTGTTGTGAATTTCAATGGCAACAAACATATGTTATTCTATGTTTTAAGATTACATGTGTGCATGTCACTTGTGTGATTAACAATTAAAAAATGAATTCTGTAGAGCAGTAGCTTAGCTATTGCCTATTGATACAAACTTACAACTAGACTTGCACTTGTAGAAGATGAATTCAATTCTTTATTGTTAAGCAATGCACACTAGTTAAGAACTTTTATGAGGTTACCGACATGTTTTTATTCAGTTTCAATAAAAAATGATCCAATTGTCATTACATCACACACACATGGGTCAGAAAACATTCTTCTTTTTAAAATCTGGGGATCAATAGGTTTCTCATGTGCTCTTTTGAGTAAGAAAACATTTGTTCATAGTTAAATAATTCTGCTTGGAAATTGAGGAAAATGACTTTTGAAATCAGCTTTAAAATGCAATAAAATTAAGCAGATATATACACTTCCCCTTTTATGTTTCTACTTTATGAAAGCAGCGAAAAATACATAAACATGTTATAAACAGAAATAAAAAGATGGGTTTGGAATAACAGACCCCTTCATATCGATGAGGCCATCGCCGCCTAGCTTCCCCGTCCGGAACAGGGTCTCCCATAAAAATGTCCTCTTCCGGCGCGGAATTCTTCAACTGCTCCTCCACGGGCTCCGGCTGTTCATCCAGCCTACCTCTCTTGTTCCTCCGCTCCGGAGCCGACGAAGCTGCGCGTTTTCGAGCCATTCGCGTCGGGGGGAACGGATGCAAAACCCTAGCGCCGAGCTGTGGAGCTGGAAGCCGGAGGGAAGTGGAGTTTGGAAATTTGAAAAGAAAGGAAATTTGAACTTTACCTTTTTGGGGGAGTTTCTTTTTTCTTTCAAAATGAAACGGAAATGAAGTCGCGCGGGATTTATATATTGCAGTCCAATTTTTTTTGCCTAATGGATCCTTTTTTTTTTTTGAAACAGTCTAATGGATCCTTAGGATCAGTTTGATACACAAAATTGATGGAATTGAAGTAACATTGAAATTTAAATTCTAAAAAATTGAATTGGATTGAAGTAAATTGTCCAATTTTTAATTCATTTTTAATTCTATTAATTCCAAGCTCACATATTTTTATATTATCAAGCAGTAGAATTAGAATTACATTCTCTAATTTCAATTTTACGACTTGAATTTTGTGTGCCAAACGGATCTTCAGTGCATTAGGGGAGAAAAGAAGAAATAAGATGATGTAAAGAAGAATAAAAAGAAGATTGATTAGAGAGAAGAAGAGTTTAGGAGAAAGAATATAAGGGGCGAAAAATATTCTCATATAGAGGAAAATAATATTGACCATTTTTTTTTGTACAAATGTGAGGATGACACTCGAAGGAAAATAATTACAGGATAAACAAGGAGGAAAATGATTAACGAATATTGAGGAAAATTGAAGAAAAAGTAATGTGACATTAAAAGTAAATGATGCGAAAGAATAATAGAGGGACATGTTCTTATAAAAGTTTCATCTCCAATCTTTGCCTACATTTTTTATCTCAATTAAGGTAGAGGTACACCTAAATAATTTTCCCTATTTGTACATCTAACAAATACTGACACTAAATGTGTGTGATCACATATACTTAATGTCACTGTTTATCTGGTGTACAAATAAGGTACCCTTAGCATGACCTTTTTTTATTTTTCCTTAATGGTTTTGAGTTAATAAAACTAAGGGCATTCACTTTTTAATTTCTTTTATTTTTCTTTTTTTACAAAGAATTTACAATTATTTGTATAACTATTTTTCAAAAATTCAAAATTGTATGTCTTATATAGAATTAACGGTAATTAATTAGAATAATAGAGTCCCAGTATTTACAACGTAACAAAATGTAAGGGTTCGTATTGTTTTTTTAAATGCAAGAATCTGTGAGTTATTTCAACAAAACTAAATTTAGAAACAATTTTAGAAAATTTATTATTATTTGCATGTCGTCACTGACAGGTTATTTTTCCTCTCAATCATCTCATTTCATTTCTAATGTAAAAAACAAATTCACACCCGAATTTCTCGTTGTGTTGACTACTTTGGTAAAAACTTACATAAAATATAGGAAAAAGTTAAAATATTATTAAAACATACAAAAATATATCAAAATATGAATTCTATATTTTTATTCTCAAAATAAGAGTTCAAATGCATTAACAGTATCAATCATGATCATATATATTGCAAAAAAGAATTACAAAATATCCACATATAATGCTACATTACTATATTGCGAACATCAATTTTGGAAATAATAAAATAAAACTTCAATTTTGATATATTCTCAATATTTTTTACTTCTATTTATGGTAATTTCTTGAAATTTATACAAGTGTATACAACTTTATACTTTGTATATCAGTTGTGTTTCCATCAATTTCATGATCCTAAAATCCAAGATGGACCTTCTAATATTGTGAATTTTTTATTTTATTTTTTTAAAGAGCTTAATTCACTCAAACCTTGTTTGGTACATAGAATTCAAAATATGAAATTAGAATGAGGGCAATAATTCAAAAGTAGTCCAGCTTATTAGTTGTTTTGTTGTGGTTCTTACTCACATATTATTTTTTTATTTTGGTTTGTAAACGTGAAGTTGGTTTTGGTGATTAATATCATGAGCCATTGTTCAAAAAATAAAATTTTGTTTTTTAGTAGCACGAAAATATGTCGATTTGAAATTGATAGTACAAAAAATGAATTGGAATTAAAAAAAAATTCAATTCCATCCAAATAAATTCCATAAAATTTAAACTACCAAAAATACATTTAACCAAAGAAAGATAAAAAAATTAAAAATAAAAAAAAATAAAATATAAGAAATGCTTATGAAAATTAGTTTATATTTCACAAACTAAAGAGAACGAGTGATAACAAAGTATTATTTAAAATATTTGTTAATATTCTTGCACTCATCTACAAAAAATAAAAAACTCTTATTAAAGTGCAACTTAAGCATATTGAAATTAAACTAAATTGTTTACATAAATTTTTTATTTAATGAAGAAATATAAAAAATTATTATTTTTATAATATATTAGTATATATGTTTGGTTCGAGAATTTCGGTATGAGAAGTAATCTCTTACCGTTTCCAAATACCGGACCGACCGTTAGGTTCAGTACGAATGGATTTTTTTTCAATACTTTATCGGTTTGGTATTTTTCGGTTTGGTATTCTCGTTTTTTCGGGAAATATCAAGATTGATTCGATCCTTGCTCACCTCTAAATTTTATGGGTTGGTCTAAAAAATTACAAAGAAAACAAACTTAAAAATTCATCAATGAAGATTACTCGTTTTAATTTTAGACTCCACTTGTTAAAGAAAACAAACCTTAAAATTCATCCATGAAGATTGGGAGTGAAAGTAATAACTATATTTATTCAGGGTTGAGGACTGGTCTCAAAAATATTTATCTCTGTGCAAAATCAATTCCCAAATTTGAATTGACTAATTGCGGCTTAAGCAAACGATTGACGATCATTAACTAAATTAATAAGTCTGGTATATAGGAACAACAAAAACAAGAAATATATTCCCCTTTTAGCTTTGGACAAGCTTATAATAGAGCATCATAGAACCATAAGCTTGCCTATTACCAAACTTGGTTTGTGTCAATAAAGCAAAAAAAAAAAAAGGGTTAAAAACCTGATCTGATCCCAATGTAAAAGGGAGCCAAACTGATCTGAAGTAGTCTTCATTCTTCTCATAGAGCCCAACAACTCAAGAAGTTAACCATCAAGTTCTTGAACATGCTGGGTAATTGATTCCGGGCATGACTGAGCCCGAAGGAGCTCCAACCGATTCGAATGTGCAGTGAACTGCAAGATGTAGTCTTCATCTGGAGAAAGCACAAAAAACAATTGAAATTAATGAGGCTAAAATGTAGCTTTCAGCAACTGTTTTCCATTTAATCTGTCGTTCAGGGGCCTGTTTGGTACGCGAGGCATGACATGATACATGTTCTGAAATATGAAAGAAATGATATTGGTTTGAAATATAAAAAAAGAGAAAGTTTGAAGAGATTTGAAATGATGATTGTCGGTTTGATATTTCCGAAAATCAGGAAATATCAAAGCACTCCATTCGAGGGTTGTGATATTGGAAGATATGAAATTCAACCATGCTTGGGCTTACCAAACACCCAGAAAAGAGATTTAATTTTGGGAGATATCCAAACACCCCATTTGAGAGGGTTGTGATATCAAAAGATTTCAAATCTGATCCATGTTTAGGCTTACGGAACACCCACAAAAAGAATTCTGGTATCTCATTTGTTCACCAAACAGGCCCTTAAGAGAAATGACTGTTCTAAGACATTGTAGGTGTAAATAATCACACAAGATGGCTAATATCACCCCAAGTTTTGTATGGAGATATGATGATAATGATATGAAATGACTATAACCCCCGCTCCAAATTTTAAAGAGGCCTGCCTCAGTCTCATATGGGAGGTCAGATTACTCTATCACCCTTTAATTATAAATTAAGAAGCGGCTATATGTTTGTTTGTGCCTCCAAAATCAAGACGGGTAAAGTTGGATGAGTGCTCAATTCAGTCAATTGTCTTGGTAACCTAAAAAGTTGTCGGTTTGCCAAAAAAGGCTTGCCAAAGAAGTCTTACTTTCCTTTACAGTCCCATAGAGCCAGCATAAGACCTCATCTGCAAATGCAAGGCATACGCCCCCCTGTTAAAATAAAAACCAAAGTACACATTGAGCATTCAGTTAAAAAAAACGTTCAGACTGTTGGGACCCTACAACAGTGCATGTCTACCCTACGCCCCCTACCTGTTCTATATATCTCTAACTAAACCCCAACTTGGGCACTATTGAAGATATTCACAATGCATCAAATAAACACATTTGCAACATGGAGGGGGAAAAGAATCAAATTGACAGAATGACATGGGTTTCACTATTTCTGACACGTCAATACAAGTAGAGAACCGCTTGTCATAGAAGATTTCTAGTGCCATTCCATTTTAATAATATAACAATAACCAGCCTGTGTGTGCATATGTATTGTTACCTGCCAATAACCTTTGCCTTTTACCCTATGTGTGATCTCATTGGTTTGCATTTTCTCGATACGGAGAAGACAACCATTATCATCCCTACACACATGTCAAGTGCGCAACCAAGGTTAAAGAAGTGATTGTCTTTCCTTCATGCATTAAAAAATGAACATAAATTGAGGAATAGAGAGAGAGAGAGAGCATGGATTATCCCAAGATATTTAAAATATACCTAAACCCAACAACAATGAAAGGTACGCCAGCAATGAACGACTGGATCTGAAATACAGGAATGAAGATATGTAAGACACTGTAATTTCAAGTTAGAAGTTTCATCACTTCTAATGAAATCTTTTTTGCGTTGTTCACACAAAGGAAGCCAGGTATAGCTGCTCAGTGGCATGGCAGAATGATAGGTTAGCTCACTATGCAGTAGCATTAGCAATTATCCTTTTATAATTATTAATGGTTTTAAGCATTAACATCAACGTACCATCAACAGCATTTTTGTTAATTTCTCAATTTCAATCCTTGTTTATATTCCTCTAATTTCACATCCCTCTTCTTACACAACACTTCATGAATGTCTTAAAAAAACCAAATTATTTATGGGGCTGGCACATAGGGAAGCATGTGTTAGTTCCCTGAAATCTGAAATGATTATATAATCAAATTCTGCCACATAGATACACTTGTAATTTGCAACAGGAATGTCTATAAAAGAGCAAATACCCAGAACTTGAGTAATTTCTCCCTCTCAAAAATTTCCACAGTGCGATGATCCAACAACTGCAAGCAGGAGAAAAAAGAAAAGAATGTTAAGTTCGA